GTCAATAACTCATCACGTGCGTATCATCTTCCTGGCCCTTGGACTCTTATTCTATGGATGAGAGCAGTTGTCCCCTGGTACCCTTGAGGATGGGTTCCAAGGCATCCTCCTCCCATACCAACATCCACGAATGTTCAAGTCCTTTGTATAACATGGTGTAGTATTTTCACAGAACCTGTGCACATCCTCCTGTATACTTTAAATCATCTCTAGGTTACTTAGAGTACTTACTCTAATGCTTGCACATCAACCATTTCATTCCCATGGATTCAAGGAACTACTAAAGATGAGGCAAATTCAAAGTTTCACTTTTTTGGAACTTTCTGAATTTTTTTTCAAATATTTTTGCTCCAAAGTTAGATGAATCCATGGATACAGAGGAGCTGACTACTGTGCCTCAGGTGAAGGTGGAGAATTCAAAATGAAATCATACAATAGTTACACATGTACAAACATCCAAGGCTGATATTTGTTATGTAAAAGAAATCACCAGAGGATGGAGCCTTGCCCAGCAAGTCATAACAGCAGGAGAGCCCAGGGGAAATCCCAGATGTAGAATAAAACTGTATCTGTGAGTAAGGGTCTGGCTAGCAACACTCCTTGTTGCCATCCATAGCTGGAAACAACTTACATTTTCAGTTCACACACACAGTGAAGTACATGCACGTAACACTGTCTAACACAGCAATGAACATACACAAACCAAAACTACCCACAACAGTACGGATAAATCCCACAAACATCAAGTGGAATAAAGGAGGCAAGTCACAAAAGAATACATGCGGTATGGTTTTATTTGTGTGACATTCAGCCGAAGACAAAATGAAATCATATTGCTAAGGGATGGATCCACATGACTAACTCTGTAAAGAGAAGCCTGAAAATGATCTCGGGTGTCAGAATAGCTGGTGCATCCTTTGGGGAAGGGCTAGGAGAGGTTTGTGTTCTGGGGAAGTGAGGTGGGATAAAGGGCCTCAGGAGAGCTGGCACTGTATTTCTTGCTTTAAGTTGGAAGTCCACCTGTGTTCAATTTACAGGTGTTCTTTAAATTGTATATGTAGTCTTCTGGAGATACAATCCTAGCTTACAATTTTAAAAATTAAAGGCATGTGAAATCAACAGAGAGCCACCCAAAGTTAAAATAATAGTTCCAGAGATCATTTTAAAAAAATATATAATGGGTTTGAACTCATGGCCTCCTCGCTCTTGGTACCACTTGAGCCATCACTCCAGCCCTTTTTGCTTTAGTTATTTTCAGCTAGGGTCTCAAGTTTACACCAAGGCCAGCCTGGACCAAGATCCTCCTATTTATCCTGCATAGCTGGGATGGCCGGTGTGCACCACCATGCCCAGGTTGTATTGGTTCAGATTGGGGGGGGGTCACTTGAACTTTTTGCCTGGGGTGGGTTCAAACCTAGATCCTCCTGATCTCTGCCTCCTGAGTAGCTAGCATTTTAGGCAAGATCTACAGTGACTGGTGGCTCCTCAATTTTATGGATGGGAAAACAAGCCCAGGGAGGTAAGGAGGCTGACTCAAGGTCACAGAGTATGTCCCTAGTCAAGCCCTAACCAGAATGAGACAACTCCTAACCCACCATCATTGTCTGTTTAGCAAGACCTCTTCAGGATAGGAGGAGGAAGGAATTTGGCTTTGAAGCCTGGGAGTTCCCTTGTTTTGTAGTTAAAAGGACCAGTTGGCCAGCTATATGATAAGGAGCTGGTATAAATGCTGGACACTGAAAGTCCTTTTCAGATGGATTTACAGATTTAAATATGTTTCCTAAATCATAATGATGACAATAACGATGATAGCCTTGCAAAACATAATTACCAAAAATCTCTGGCAACCATGGTCTAGTTAGATTCATGTTCCATCCTATTTGCAGCAGGCATGGGAAAGAGCTAACTAGAGGGGGCTGGGATGGAAGAGGAAGGACAGGGAGCCAGGAAGTCTGCAAATTTATTGACTTATCCACCTGGCCTAGGTAAGACCCCCTAGCCCTGGGACAGTCAGGAAAGGAACCTCTGCTATCTCTCTGAGAGCTTTTTTGTTTTGTTTAGAGGTCAATTACTTCCCATTTGGGGAACTTGTGAACATTAAGAGGTGACTGGAGTGACAGGATTGAATGATGCAGATAAGAGGTGATTGCTTACAGAGCTGCTTTCTGGTAAAAGCCCTGATGAGGATAAGCAGTTCTCCAGTGAGAGACACACAGAAAGTGGCAGTTTCAATTTGAGGAGAGATTACAGGGAAGACTGGCAGCTGAGGTGGGTGTGATGAGCGGGAAAGGGATGCATTTTAAAGCCTTCCTGCCAAGCAGAAAGTGGGGAGTTGAGAGATGAGTTTGCCTTCACTCTCCTTTCCTTAAGGAAAGAAATATTTGGTGTCATGTGAAGCTCAATCTTCCTTCCTGGGATACGAAATCTCAAAACCAAAAAACACACGGGTTGCATATGGATCGGCTTTATTTTTTGTTATTTTTATTATTTTTTAAGGCCAGCCACTGCAATCTAAAAACATAACAAAGGATTACCTGATGATGGGGTCCTGATGCTATTGTGCGATATGTGCCACCCTCAAACCTGGTATGACGTCATCATCAATTGCTCATCTGATGTGCAGGAAAAATGAGGTAGGTCCATGGAATGTGTCCATGGAAGGGTAAGCGATGCTTCCCTCACTCTTCAGTCAACCGAGTGCAATTCACAAATTCCCAGATGCTAGCCTTAACTTGTATTCCAAAGCACTGGAAAATAGGACTCTAGCTTTGACGTGTGGCCCTCTACTTGTCTCCATTGCAAAGTCCTAGACCTCACCCAGAACCGCTCTCCCACTAGACAGTGTCATTTCTATTCTAATTACCTAGCTTAACCTACTCCTTCCCAAGCACACCAGCTCCCAACTGGATTTTCTTTCTTTGGAACACGCTTACTGTCTATCCTAGTTGGCATCTATCATCTTGTATTTTTAAATGTGTTGGTTGTGTTAGTCTTTGCTATTCTAGTTAGATAGGAAATCCCTTAAGAATAGCAGCCGAACCTTATTTTCTCTTGTGTCCTTACCAGGAATGTGCAGCAAAGGCTGAGTTCCTGAAGACTGCTCTGAGCCTCCTTCTTCCCCTTCCCCAGAGCCTGGACCACTGATTTTTCTTAAAGTTCCCAGGTAGGATCAAAGGTGTGGCCGGGGCAATGGGAGTCTTTTATTTGCCCAATTCAGGAGGCAGGCCTGTTCAGAACACCACGCATCTGGTACCTGCTTCTTTTGGGCCTTTTCTATTAATTTCCTACTTGTGCCCAGGACCCAAACAGGGTAGGGAAAAGGTTTTTCAAACTAACATATCGTATTTTAGATTCTGATCTTAGAAAAATTTAATGCCACTCAGTGGACTGAAACTCACCTGTCATGAATCTAAGACCCATATCTAAAGAGAACTTCTTTTGTTAAGAATATCCTCCCAAATGAAAGAGGAAGAATAACATAGTTTGACAATTCTCAGAAGACATAGATTTTTAACTATAATATCTGGGTGTTCTTTTTAAAGTTCAGTTGAGGAAATTTCTTACCCAGTTTTCCAAATTTGATTGTACACACTGCATTTTCTCATCCCGATGGCACAACACTAATTAAAAGACACTGTGATGTGTTCTAAATGCAGTTTTATTAACAGTGAAAATAGAAAAGTAAAATAAAGTTATGAAAACAAAAGGATGGAAATGTAAGGAAGTGGTAGTACGAAAAAATATGAATAGTTACTCGCCATATTTTTAGTTTAAGCATATGAACTTAAAAGAAGATAAGCTATTGATAGGTATATTTTTTACATAGAATCAAACAGTGTCTTTCCCACCGCAGCACAGACAACCAGTGCATATTCAGAAAGAGAAAAAATGCCTGGACAGTCCATTTTAATTGAACGTGAGAATTTATTAAATAGTAGAATTTAATCTTTGATAAATCAGTGGTCCAGAGGGATAAACAGCCAGAGGTTTCATTGCCTAAAAATGTAATCCACGGAAACAAAAGTCCATATATTAGGGAGCCTAAAGTTAGGCTTTTTACTATGGATTTAAAATTTATTGCCTGCTGGGGGTCGGGGTCGGGAAGGAGGAGAGTGTCCTTTCCTTACCAGGAATTTAGAGCTTCGTCACATTTCAAAAGAACAGTTACAAGGTGGAAGAAGGAAGTTTAAGGAAAGAAGTCAGATAACCTACTTTCAGGACTGAATCGCTTTGTCTCTCCAGATTTAGGTTTAATTGGAAGTTGTTCAGAGGTGCCCATGAGATAAATAGGGCCTAAAGGTCTACGCACGCGCAAACACGCCAAGGATATTTAATACATTATTCGAAGTGTGCTGTACACACGAGATAAAATGTAGCGAGAGGGAGGACAGGGAGAACCAGAACGGAGGGGCGTCTACAGGAGCGCACGTGGCCAGAAGGCGCTTTCCCCTCTGGGTCACCAGCGTCCCAGGGATCGCGGGGCGGTGGCTGGATGGCTGGTGTTTAAACAGAGGAGGGCGTGGCTCGCAGCCATAGTCCCTCTCCTGAAACCTCTAGGGCCTTCCTCTTCCCAGATCTTCACCCCGCTTGCCGCACTCCTTTCTTACTCTCCGTGCTCCCCGACCGGTTCCTTTCATTAGAGGACGGCGCTCTCCCAATCAGTTCCCATGCTTCGGAGGCTGCCGCACGCAAGTGAAAAGAGCCACTCGTGGTTGAGGTCCGAAAAATCACCTGCTCATGCAACTCCGACGCCCCAAACTGCCAGCCACCCTCGGTTTTCTGTCTGCTCGGTGCTAGGTAGTGCACAGCTAGGGAAAGCCAGGCGTTGCGTCTCTGCGGCCTGCAGGGGGATTGCTCCTCGGGTGCAGTTCGCAGTTCCAGAGTTCGATCCTGGGTGATGCCGCGTGGGGTCGCCGCTTCCCTCCTCGGCGGCGGCCCCTCTACTGCCCGCGAGGGGACGCGGCACCTGCCATCGGTGGGCTTTGTCAAGTCCAGGTGCCTCACCAGGCCCTGACGCCCTGCAGCGTGGCGGGCAGATGGCCCTGCGGAGTGGCGCTCGGGACGCCGGGGCTGAAGCCTGAGCTGGCCAATGGCGTGGGTGGCGCGGGGCCAGCGCCGGCGTAGCAGCTCGCGTAGCCGGCGCCGTAGTGGGTGCTCGCGTAGCTGCCATAGCAGGAATAGGGCGCGGTGGCCGAGGCATAGGGGCCGACGAAAGCTGGTGCGCCTGAGCCCAAGCAGGGTTTGCCATCGCGCACCAGCACGGGCACTGCCACCCGGCGCGGCGCTAGGGGGTGGCCGGCCAGCTCCAGTGACTTGTCCTGGCGTTGCCTCTTGCACTTGTATCGCCGGTTCTGGAACCAGATCTTGACTTGCGTGGACGTGAGCTGCAGGGCGCTGGCCAGGTGCTCGCGCTCAGGCGCCGACAGGTACCGCTGCTGCTTGAAGCGCCGCTCCAGGGCCAGCACCTGTGCCTGTGAGAACAGCACGCGCGGCTTCCGCCGCTGTCGCGTCCTTGGCTGCTCCGGGCCGCCACCACGCGCGCCGTCGCTGCTGTTGCCAACGCTGAGCTGCAGCATCCTGTTCCCGCCCTGGAGGGGCAAGGCCGCGTCCAGGCCGGGCTCTAAAAGCACAGGAAGGAACACCATCAGTGCCCACACCGGCTCACCTGAGCAATTCTTACTGTATCTTCACGAGACCCCCCTCTCCCTGGTAGTTCCCCCCTTCACCTCTTCCTGTCCCCAACCCCAGTCCCGGGCGGGTCTGAACGTTCCTTTCCTCCAAGCTGTTTTGCACCCGCCGGAACTAAATGTAACTCTCCGTTGTCCCCGCGGTACACGTCGTTTCCCAAGAGATCAAGTGAGCACAGTTTCTTACAGTGTGTGGCGGGCGAGTTTGAGGGAATTGTTGCTCAAGGGTGAGTGTGTGGCTCTGTCAGATTGGGGCTGGTTTGCGTCTTCAAAGTACTCAGCCCGCACCAAAGACGCGTCCCAGCTTTCATGGACGCGATGCTCTGCCATGCAAATTAACAAAATAAAGCAAAACAAAAGGAAATTATTTCCTGACTCCCAACTCTTGGCTTGGAAACAGAGGTGGTTCTCCTCCTCCTTTTCTTCCTTTTTTTGAAGGATTTATGAAGTTTGGATCCACATTTGGCTTTTTAAAAAGCAGCCTCTTCCTCTCTTGGAGTCTTTCTCGGAAGCGGGTGGTTCCCCTGAAATCTTTCTCCCCCACGCGATTCCCGACTGTCACTATACCCAGCCCCGCCAAGATCCACCGTTTTCCTTTCTTCTTTCCCCTTCAATCTGGTTCTGGTTTAAGCCCTGTTTTTACCCCTGAGTTGGGCAGAGAGGAAATGGTGAGTTTTTGGGAAACTTGCACCAGGAGAGATATAGGGGCGCGGAAGGACTTACGTCGGTGGCGAGGCGGGACAGGACACAGTAGTGAGGGTTCGAACCCGACTCTGGATCCTAGCTGCTCTGGCCCAGTCGCCTGGGGGGACGGAGCTGTTTGGCATTTAAAGTTTGAGGAGAGAAAACTTCTTTCAGAGGCACCTGAGCTCAGAGAAACTAACATTGAAAAGAGGAAAAATACCGACCAGGGAATGTTTTCTTCGCAAATCTCTGAGAGGCTGTGGTGCAAGCAAGACCCCATTTCAAAAGTCGCCAACTACGTGGGCGGAGAAGTTCCACGGCACCCGAGGCGCCTACCAGCAACTTGCACTGCTTGGTCACAATCCGGTGTCCCTCCTCCCTCTGCGTTCCCGAAGGCAGAGTGGCTGGGGTGAGGTGCGTGAAGCCCACCAGGACGGTCCTTTCCCCGCACGGATAGCCGCTCCGAGGCGGACTATTCTTGAAGCCGGACTCGGGCCTGTCCTCAGCGCCCATAGCAGTGGCAGAAGAAACACCGCCGGGTTTGCCAGCCGAGGGACGCATCGTGCTTGCTTGGGGCTTCCAGGCAACAGCGGGAGTCCTGGGCGCAGGAGCAAGACCTTTCCTCTGCAAAGCCGAAATGAATGCCAAGTTGGCTGGAGCAGCGCCCCAGGTGCTTAGTGTTTAGAGTCCGTTGATGAAAACCAGGAAGCTTCTGGAACACAACAAAGTTTAGCGAGCTAAGGCTCTGCAGTCACTGAATAACCAGCCGGCAGAAGGTGAGTTCACTCCGATCGAGCTTCTTTATTTGGTGAGTTTACGCCATGATTGGAGGCTCCTGGACACCAGTGGGCAGAGGAGACCGCCCAGCGACACACTGCTCTTCCCGGCGCCCCTACACCAAGATACAAGAGGCCTGGCGACAGGAGTGGTGAGCCTCTCCTGCTGAAGTCTTCCGGGTCGCAGAAGCCACTGCGACACAACTCCTCTCGCCCCTGGCCTTCCCGCAAGCTGGTTGCAGGTGCTAGGGCCTAGCTGCCCGTTGTTGCAGGTGCCAGGTGTGGGGCCGTCTCCCAGGACCCCTAGAATCTCAGCTGCTCTTGACAAACATCCTTAGAGCCTTCCATTTGGAAGGACTCTCACCCCACCTGGTCCTCACCTTCCCTCTTTTCTGCAGAGAAATGGGGAGACTGGCCAGGCCACTCAGCAAGCCTCAATAAAAGGCTGATGGCTACAATTTTTGCAAAGGGTTTGGAATAGCCAAAGGTGGTGGTAATGGGGCACAGCTAAGATATGGTAAAGGACTTTTTGGGGAATGAGGAGCTGCCGGGTCCAGGAACTGTGGCTGGGAATGGGAATGAAGCGTTTGCAGGACCAGAGTACTCACCCAGAGTGAATCCTTTAGATTGAGGGCTTTGGGGCTTGTGAAACACTGGGGATGTCTGGAGGAAGTGAGCCTGTCTTTTGAACTTCTCAAATGAGGGGAAATTAGGTGAGTTTCTTGGGAACCGGAGACAATCCTCCTTCAATATTCTCCCCACCCCCAAAGAAGACTTGAGCGAGCGTTTACTCACGTGGTTCCCCCACCCGTTCCGGGTCCATCTCCAATACTGCCTCACAGAGACCCCCAGGAAGCTCCGATGGGTCTTGCCCTCTGTCGCCGCCGCCCCCACTACCGGCGTTGTGAATCTCAGGTTCCCTGGGTTCCCAGTCCATTTGCAGGTACTGAGCGTTTTCCGGGCTCCTCCGCACCCTCCATTGTGACGTAGACTCAGGGTTGCTCTGCTCACGTTCCAACCGCAGGATGTCATTGACCGAGAATGGGGTGGAGGTGACCCGACTCAGCAGCATCACTAGACTAGGGTGGAGGGGGCGGAGCCGAGAAGGTCCGGGTCTCCGCGTGGCGTTGCGCCCTGAACTGCAGGACCGGGAGACAGTCCCAAGTCTGTCCAACGTCCCGGACGGCTCCTTTCTCAGGGCCTTCCCAGAGGTTGCAGGATGAGGGGGGACATGGCCGGGAAACAAGACCACGTTCCCCCATTGGTTCCTTCAGAAACCACGTGCTAATCCTAGGGCTGGCTTTCTGCGCCCTTCTAATTCCTCCCCAATCCCTGGTCACCTTCCGGAGAGATTTGGTTCATACTGACAGTTCTCAAAGGCAAAGAAAATGTGGAGAGAGCTGCTCGTGCGGCTGGCATCTCCATCAATACGTTACAAGCGGGAGTTCCCAAGGTCACCGCGGGGATCCTCCTCGAGGCTGTACGGGGATGGAGTCCTTTCTGTGCACCTGCAGCCGGTTCCTTCGACTTTGCCTTAGTTCAGTTCTCCAGTCTACACTCTTAACGGCAGAGGAAATCTGAAGTAGAGAGAGCCGGGGACCCGTAGGATTCGAGGTGCGCGCTGGGGGTCTTAGCGCGCACAGGACCCCGCGACGCTGAGCTCTTGTCGCGGCACAGAGGCCAGACCACGCGGGAGTAGCGTCTTGACCGGCCAGGGATCGTTCTGAATTGGGAACCGCTCACCTAGGGCTGAGTCCGGGTCAATACGAGCTCCTGGGCCACTTCCCAGGAGCAGTGTCTTAGGCCCTCTTGGAAGAAAAAGGGAGCCTGGCGATTTGGGACAACCCCGGCCTTTGGGGACTCCGCGAGTGGCTGGGAAGTTGAGAAGATAATAGCCGTGGCCGACGAAAAGGCTGAGAGCGGCCCACCTCGCTTTTCGCGTCCAGGTTTCTTCTTTTTCCCTTTTCTCCTTCCTAAAGCTGGTTGCCTTGAGCTTGCGTGAATGAACGCAGCGACCGCCCGCCGGAGGGTGGGAAGCTTTGACCAGTCTCAGATCTCCAGAAAAACAATTTGAGTAAAGGGAGACCGTGTGGGACAACGGTCGGGAACCTGGAGATAGTGCGGACAGATCTGGACTTGCTCTGGAGCAGAACTTGTGGCCTTTGGGGCAAAGTATTCATATTTCTTAGCTTCATTTTCATATGAAATGGAGATAATGAGGCCGGGAGCCGGTGACTTAAATCTGTAATCTTAGCTACTCAAGAGGTAGAGATTCCAAGGATCGCGGTTGGAAGCCAGCCGGGGCAAATAGCTCCGAGACCCTATCTTGGAAAAAAACATCACAAAAAAGGGCTGGTGGAGTAGCTCACGTGGTAGAGCGGCTTCCTAGTGAGAGGCCCTGAGTTCAAAACCCTAATACAGAAGAAGAAAGAAACGGAGATAATAATGTATTCACCAGATGACTGGGAGAATTTAGTGACAAAATGTATCTGATACCATCAAGGAATGCCCACTGCTGCTGTTACTTGTGTCACCTGGATGGAGCAAACATGAGTTCCTGTCTCACTCCCAAGCAGAAAATTGAGGGAGTTTCTAATCTTTTACGATTAAAAAAAAAAGGGATTTTGCCAGAGTCTAAGGTCATTTAAAAAAAATCTTTATATGCAAATTCAATGTTACAAGAACTGTTTGGATATTATTTCTTGAAATCCAGGTAAACCGAATCCCTGCCCCGCAATGAGTGGGCACAAAATTTCATTTTAAAAGCCAAATTTCAGCAAATTTGATCCTTCAGTTACCAAGTAGTCAAATAATAATTTTGTATACATGGTATCATGTAATCCGCACATAATGAAGCTATGTGCTGAATGCTTCCAGACCTTTTTTTCTTCTAGAGAGGAAAAGGGGGTGAAGATGGCTCTGGAGATGCCCAGCTCCTTATCTGCAGGGTGCACCCAGATAACATCTCATCAAAACACAACCTTTCTCTCTCTCTCTCTCTCTCTCTCTCTCTCTCTCTCTCTCTCCTCCCTCCCTTCCTCCCTTCCTCTCTCCAGGGGATTGAATCCAGCCTCCCACTAAGTGCTCTACCACTAAGCACTCAACCACTTAAGCTATACCTTGTTTCTCATTTTTTTGTTTTGTTTTTATTTTTGAAGTAAGTATGGCTACTTTTGGACTGACCTCTAATTCTTCCTTTATAATGTCCTTTCCTTCCTTCCCTTTCTCCCTCCCTTCCTTCTTTTTTGTTCTTAGTAGACACCCTTTATCCTCAGAGGACAAATAAAATCTTGTGACAATTCATGAGTTTATTTAAGCTTTATCTTGTTTTTCTGACTATAAAATACATTATACGCACCTTGGAGAATCAAAAATACAGAAAAATTGGAAAGAAAATACCATGCATCTAGAGATAATATTTTAGTGCACTTGCTTCTCTGTTTAGTTTTGCATATATGTGCTCACGGGGTGTGTGCAAATTTGTGTTTAAGTTTACATCCTTAATTCCTTACTTCCTTAATTCTTCCAAGTATGATTTAAAATAGCAATTTAATATTCTAGGTTACAGATGGACCATAATAGACTGTGTTTATACTTTTAGATATCGTTTTTCACCACTGTAAATAACGCTTTATTTTTGTGCCTCATAATTGTGATTTCATCTTTGTGCCTTCATCCTTGTCCACATTTTCATTTATTTCCTCAGCATATATATGTAGAAGAAACATATGTAACATTATGTAATAAAATAATTTAATGCTCATTAAAACATATTTTCCCAGCACTTCCTAGAAAAACCGTGTTATCCTATCCTCCACTCAGAGGTGCAGGCGAACACGTAGGTTATGAACCAACCACTATCGCAGAGATAGGGAGGGCTTAGAAAATTTCCTCTCGGAGGACTGAGTCCCTCCACCCCCCACCTCCACTCCAGGGACTGCAAAACACACTGGGCTGGGGGCGAGAATGGGGGCCCCAGTTAAAAAACCTAAAGCCTGAACCTGCCAGATCATTGTTGTGGAATAAAATTCTCTCTGTGACCACATGCGCTGTAGGAAGTCGTAGGAGAAAGGGGCACCTTGACGTCAAAAGCCCTGAGTTCAAATCCGAGCCTTAAGTTCCTGGTTACGGCCAGGATCAAATGAGATATGGAACCTGAAAAGGCTAGAAACCCTTCCGAGGCAGTGCAAACAAAAATCCAAGTAACCGAAAGGGCTGTGTTGCGCAAACCTGGGGAGAGGTGGTCTTCCTGTCTTGCCTTCCAAACCCCGGCAGGGACAGAAACTGTGCTTTCATCGAGCCGTGTCGCGGGGCACGAACTTGCAAAGCCTCATCCAGAACTCAGCTCAGGACAGTCTCTGTCCTCCCGCTGCTCCCCTGGTTTCGGTGGTTTCCCACGCCTGGAGTCACCTCTTGCGGTTCTGGACCCCCAGGGTGAGGCGGGGTGCTCGCCCTCCAGGCCACCCTCCAGCACCGGTGTGCACCAAGAGCCGCCAGCCAGAGAGTGAAAACAGTAATTCTAATTTTGTCCCTTTCGGGTCAGTTGGGGCCGCATTAGCAACTGCCCAGCGGCACAGGGGTGGCGGAGCAGCCCGGTCACCTGCCTGGAGGGGCGAGGAGTGAGCTAGGTGGGTCCGCGAGAGCAGAGGAGTCCTAGTCACCAGGCTCTCAGATGGGGCTCCGTGAAACTGCATGGGTGGAGTGTGTGTGTCCCTTGCTCTAGAGTGAAGATTAGTCACCATGGGGACGACTTCTGCTAGGGGTAGACTGAGTGTGTCTTGCTCCACACAATCTAAGGCTCAAATCAATTCACAGCGTATTTTGAGCCAGTTCCACCTCAGCTCTGTTGGAGACTGGAGGAAATGAGGAGTCTCGGGGTCTTTTATCTGAACTCGCGTTCTTGCATGGAAGACAGATTTTTGGGGGGTGGGAGGGTGGGCAGATGACGCCTCACTATGTTGCCCAGGCTCTTGCACTGCTGGCTGAAGCAGTCCTCCAGCCTCAGCCTCTCTAGAAGCTGGCGATACAGGTGCCCACCGTGGCACCTGCTGAAAGGCAGAATTTTAAATGAGCCCATGCAGTGTGATACCTTGCACAATTAAATGGAATTTGCCCATGGTATTTATTGAACTTCTTCTAATCCATGATTAATGAAAGTGTTATCTCCTATAACATTCAAGCTCCCCCCCCTCACCCCGCGCGCGCGCGCGCGCGCGCGCAGGGAACTGAAGGAACTTAAAGCCTTGCTCATGCTAAAAACTCTTTCTGCCACCGGGATACATCAGCTTTAAAGGAAGAGCCACAACAGGCAGTTCTTGCTGAAGTCTGGCACTAGTGGGGCCAGCTCCTTCTTATGTGTTTAGCCTGCCCAGTGATCCTTGGTTGACATTAGACTTGTGCTCTGGACCTGTTCTCATAGCTGTATCCCCAAAGTCTAGGCTGGGAGCTGGAACACAGTGGGTTTACAGTAAATATTTGTCAGATCAAGGTATCTGCCTTGTTTGGCTGGTGATAATCTCTAGGGTACCCTAGGGAGGGGTCCAGAGAGTGTCTGGCCCACCAGGCCTCGGGACACTCTGTATTCCCTGGTGGTGTCAATCCTGCTTTGCTATGTAATATCATACAAGGTTCCTTTTGCTGGGAGCCACTTTGTAACATTATAATAACATGTCTATTTTTTGAATCTGTGAAACTCGCTTTTGTCCCTTCAATTGGTGTGTTCTGTTTCCCCTTCCTGGTTAGTATACATTTCCAATTTCAGCAATTTATCCTTTATGTGTGTGTGCGTGTGCACGTGTGTTGGTTGTTGCTGCTAAGCGAATGAACAGTTGGGGCTTATTTTCCTTCTTGTTTGCAAGACAAGGTAGCCTCCTGTGGATACTCTTTCTTGTGGTAAAGACATTGCTGTGATATGGATCGTTTTGTATCCATGTAATGCTTCTGGTGGCTGTCTGTGTATCCTTACTGCTTTAACCCACAGAGCATGTCAGGCTGCAACAATGCTGATGTACATTGTACCTGTCTCTCCCTTGCACAGAACAAGCTATTCCACCTCTGCAGTTACTCAGGGCA